GGTATATGATGCTCTGAAGCCTATGTAATTTTGTTTAGTAGATATGATTTATAGTTGTGTTCTTTACATCACGTCTCTGAGGTGGGTAAGACTGCAACTACTACCTAGGAAGAAGGTTCTGCACGCGCAGAGTCAAAAGACCGATATAACAAAGCGTGTTTACAAACCTGAGCGAATAATACGGTTGTTGGAGAGAAACATAGATAAACTGATGATGATGACAGCCGTCCGAATGCGAGAGGCAGCTTAGATGAAACTAACGCCAACTAGATTGAGACGGAAAGCAGGGAGTAACCAGTTCGTTAAGCAACTTTTCAAGAGGAAGGGGAAATGCAGAGAATCGGCGAGGAACGGATGCATGCGGACAGAAGTGCGATGAGTGGTTAGTGAGAATAATGACGTTGAAGCGCTTATAATTCCATAGTCTGAAAGCCATCAGAATCTAAAGAAAAGGATCACAGGAGACCAAAACTGGGCCGTGCATTCGGAGTCGTTAGACCGGGAACGATCAGATGGGTAACGGATGAAGTAAGCTCATACAGCAACACCCAGGATGTAAGGCAAATGCTAACATGAGGTAAAGAGCAGATGCGTATGAAGAGAGGTAAGGTGAGCATACTAATAGAATTGATAGCCAAGAAACACTTAGCAATGGTCCGCGTGCCGCCAGGACGCAGGAGCTTTGTCGGAGCGGAGAAGAGCATACGCACGAGTATAAATTAGTGCGGCGCAATGAGGGTAAGCCATACAACAGAGGTGGGAATAAAAACGGAGCGCAAAAACAGAGAAGGCCAGGTTCCGGATGAAGGAGCCTATATGGATAAGGGGAAAATAATACCAACAGGGATCTTGAGGAAATGGAAGAGAGCGAAACCGCTGCCAAACCATGATCGGAAATGGCACTGAGGACTGGGAGAAGTAGGAGGGTACAAGACTGTTAAGACTAGGTTAGTTGGCGCACTGAGATTGGGTCGTACAACTGAGGTGAGAACAAATATGGGAAGGGTCAGCGGAAATAGACAGGTTAATTATCAAGGTGGCTATTTTCTATACGGGTGATTAAGTCCGGCAAGGAATTTGACGTTGAGTCTGGAACGTTGGTGCGTATTATCGATGGCACACTATGTGTAGCTCGAATTGATGTCAGCCGCCCAGCTGGTCAGCAGACAACCGATTGAGGCCGTTGAAATTCAACTTCGCCTTCTTTATTTACCTTAGGACCAGTGGAGGTAAGTGAAGACCTATGTTTCCGGTTGGTCTTGGCAGAAATCATGTTCAAACCATTAACAATGTGGAAGTCCTTCTGAAGTTTTGGAACAATTTGGAGGCTGGATGAGGTCCTGACAGTACTTATTCCAATTGGGCTGGCTGTGGTTGTTTAAGGTGTATTTGTGAAGCTGGTGACGTTGAATTATAAAGACACGGGACACAGTTTTGATGCTCTGCCCAGCATTCTTCCGCTGTTTTGCAACGGAGCCTAATAGAAAGTTCTGGGGTTTGCTCACTGTCAACCTTTCCACAAATGAATCAACTTATATTTACTTCATTTCTCCAATGATTACCAGCAGTCTTTCCTGTTTCATTGCTAGTTCATTCACAATCTTTACTAGTAGAATAACCATGCATCGTTCACAGAACCATTGAGCATCTGGTTTATTATTAGCTATCTTCAGCTGGCTTACTGTGATCTTTGCACATTTAGAATCGAATCTGATTCGGCAGTCCACACAGTGAATTCCGGTTAGTACATTTGTATGACATGAAGAAAAGCCGCATACTACTGTTAATTGGTCGTAAAAAACCATTGCGTCGATCGATGCCTTTCCGGTTCGTGGTGTGGTTGTCAATCTCTCTCTGTATTTTTAAGACCAACGCGTTCAATGTGTGCACAGCTGGCAGACTAGGATTGGGCGGATGGATGGTTTGCTCGTTTAGCTCTGCGATTTAACTAAAGCGAGTAAGCGATAGAGGCACAAAATGTCAGATTGCTGATTCGCTTAGCGGTTGACAGCTGTGGTTGAGGGTTCGTCGTTCTTTCGTTTGAGACTAAAATTATTGCTTTATTGTCTGGGGTTCGGAAAATTCCTCGATTCCGTCTCCGCGGAAACAGTGCAGAAACCGCGATGTTGAAATTACTGATGATCCACACAAGTTAGATCCGAGAGATGGAATGCATTAAATAGCGCTGATGAAGGTGGATCAAATGAGTGTAAGCACACGTGTGTGATGAGAAGTGTGTTAGTAAATCTGATAAGAGTAGGAGATCGGAATTTTTACGTCCGCGCGGTGAACTGAAGTTACCAGCACAGATGGCCTGTTACCTTTTCTGAACTAAGTGATAAAAATAACGTGGATATAAAACGGAACAATTGGACCCGATCTTGCAGATAGGCTATGTATCCTTCTCCGATCATGGCAAGGGTTTTGCACTGATGTAGGTTAAAATCAACCATTATGAGGATGTGAATGTATTTTCCATTTAGAATGCTACCTAAGACAGTCGTAAGGTGACAATCCATTTCGGTTGTAGAATTTGGGGGACGGTAAGCCAAGCTAGAAGTTAAATGTCTCTGCTTTTTAACTGTAGGCGGCGAGTCTGAATCCTCCATGGGCTCGCATTTCAGGTCGTATCTGTATTACAGAATTACCCCTCCGCCTTTTGTGAGTTTTTAATTTGGGGAGAGCGATATGCCCGGTAGCGAAAGTTCAGCGTCCGTCATTCCATCGTGTAACCACGTCGCAGTGACACCGTTGATATCGCATGTGTTCGAAACTTGGCGATATTTTGATTCGGCCAGCTTATTGAAAAGGTCTCGAACATTGGCATACATGCAGGTTAAGTTCGCGGTCTAGGTGCTCACAGGGGGTTAAAGGAGTCATGTGTGGGAGAATACCAACCAATATGAGATCAACCGTTATTCGTTTTTAATTGGGATAATAATATCCTCCTTGTCAAAGTTACTTTCCATTCCCCATACATCAGATTCGTGTGAATAGGTGATCGACTAAAGCTCATGGGTCATAGCCGGTAGGTTTGTTTTGACCGATGCTTACATGTCTGGTCTTTTCAAAGCAACTGCAACCTATAACCAAAGTTCGGATGGCAGGCTTTTCTGATTTATCCGCTAACTACCTGAAACTCTGCTTGAACCATAAGTATAGGATCCTTGGAAGATTTGGACTTTTAAGCGGTCGCGCGACAACGTTATCCATGGAAAGTGTTTCGCGATTAAAGCGCCACTGTTCCGAATCTTGACTTTGATTCTTTTAACTGTCTTTGGAAGAAAGCGCTGGCGCGCCATGGATGAAGATTTTGTTTAGGCGATCTTGCCTGATGTGTCCATCCGAAGTGAATCGTTTTGAATCCCGCGCAATCCAAGGGGCATCAGGATTGATGTGTACCTCACAGGGTCCGTGTTACAGCGCATTTATAGAGAACCTAACGTTTTCTACGTCAAGAGTGGATTCATCATTCACTCCACTAAGTCGGTGGAGTAACCCCTACTAGGTTTGTGACTGGCTTTAAAGCTCCTCAAGCTGCGCAAACAGTTCCATTGGTCTCAGTCGTCAGAAAACTTACCCCGCAATGTAATGGCGGCAGCTTCTGGAATGTTTGTGCCCACAACGGTCAAGGCAATATCGTCGGATACCTTTTCGTTGCAGTGCAAGGTCGGGTGATCCTTGGTCCTGGCTTCCTACTGTTTGTCTCCCTATTTGTGTTAGAAGTGTTTGTAACGGTGGATACTGTAAGAGTAGCATCCAGAGCGACGTTTGCATCAATCTTCGCATGCGTGACTGATGCCCCGGGGAAAGGGGCTTGATCAGAGACTTTGAGCTGTTGATGCAGAAGGCTGATGTTTGGCTACCAAATGCTTGATAGTGATAGTTGTTAAGGCCGACGGAAATTAGTGGGACACACTTTTCGGTTTGTGCTTGAGTTTTTCTACCCTGAATACCATTTGACTATCACAGTTGCGGTCCATTTTCACCTGACGTTCTACCAAAGATGAAAGTGATAACAGCGATACGGACCTTACCGAGTATAGTTTTGGGGTGGGGACAACCTTGCACTATCCCACTGCTTGGCGTTCACAGCGTTTTCCTGGCATACACACGCTTCCAGTGAGACAATCCTAGAGTTCATACGTCGTTAAACATCTGCTGCTAACCGGTCGCAGTTTTCGACTACGATAAGCATACAGTTGATGAACGGGATAGGCGAACACACAGTACAAAACCAACGGACGTCATGAGAGCTGCTTTGGTCTCTCACATCTTGTCAGGAAAGATCTTCACCCTTTGGTATTACTATTTAGGACAGTGCGAGTAGGCTAACTCTAAGTTGACTAGTTTACTACATTCTCGCGACCTGCTGGTATCCTTCGACTGGAGCCATTTTGAAAGCACAGTTGCTTGATTCCTGCTAATCGTCATGGTGCTGTTACCTGACTCAGTGAGCTGGTTGATGCTCTGCACTTTTCCGACTTTGGCCGGTTGCAAACACCACTCAGACGAGCAATGTGGTTAAAGAGGTCACCTGAAGGCAGACCAGGGGTCGGTGTGGCTTCATCTGCCATAAGCGCTTACAAGAAATAGTCCCAAGTTACGTTGGAAAAGTTATCAGTACTGACGGATTGAAATCGCAATGAAAAGATGCAACACTAGTGAAAGAATTTCCAAGCAGGCCATAGAAAACATAAGAACACAGTTGTACACCAATCTTCTTGTGGTATTTGGGATTAGTCCCATGACCTACTTACTTCTAATGTATGTGTCTTCCTGATACTCCTGTGGGCTCATTTTAAACTGCTGTTTCAATTTTCCCCTAACATCTGGCTAGTTGTCTTACAGAGAACATCCAAGCTTGATCAAAACATGTAATCGCGTAGCCGGCTAATTTTTTTCAGGCATCATGTAATTAAACTAATTTGCCTACTGATTTTGAAAAGTAGATTAAATATATACTGAAGACACCGTGCGAATCTATCTCCCAGACGTACCTGATCTGAGACATGTAGAAGAAGACGCTTGTTTTTCTGCGAAAAGCCTGCGATTTGTGACCTGCATGGGATGATAGAAGATCGTAAAGTATGAATGCATTTTCGCAGTCTGAATGTGAACAAGTCAAAAATGCACTGGCAAGGGGAGTTAGGTGAGATATTTTGTATTTTCGGACAACGATTTTTCATGATCTATATTGGATTGGACCTTTAAAGGCTCCAGCCATCTGAGAAATTTTTCTTGGATGATGCGCGGCGCACAGTTGCCCTTAGCTTTGGTTGAGCGTTGCTTACTGGCATCCACTTGCAACAAAACCATCTGCGGCTTCCGAAAGTCCTCCTTGTGCTAGACCTTTTGGTTCGTCTATGGCTATCTCGTTGCCCACCTATTCGACTTTTACTCTCCGTATTTCTGGTTTAAGGTGCACCTGGTGCACCAACTTGGGATGTCCTACCTAATCCGCTACTTTATTTACAACTCAGATTTCAACTGACCGCATTCACGGCTAGTTCGCTGTAAGAAATAATTGCTAGGAGTCAAAGAAGTTGGAGGAAAGGAGATTTAGTCAGGTCCTGTTAAAGCAAAGTGGTCACAAGCAACCAAGAAGCAGGGAGTTAGATGCGAATCATCGCAGTGTAGAAGATGAGCAGTGCTTTGTACGCCAGAATACTATTCCTCTTTTCGCTGACGCATCTCACAGCGCTTGGGATAGTAGAAAAGGCTGTGAAAATAGTTGAAGATTCGCAGTAAAGTAAAGGTGTAACGAGCAGGGTGAATTGGAGTTAAGGGCCAGAGCAAGTCGGTGTCTCCCCCAGCTTCACGAACATCGTGAATACGTTCAATAAAACCTGACTGGCAATTTCAAATTGCCGAAAAATAAAAGCTGGTCAGCACTCTTCTGATTGACTTGTGGTTGGTTTACCTAATCATACATGCCACCTTATGAACTTGATCCTGGGTGAAGTAATGGATATGGAAAAGATTCACTAAAGCAGCCAATCCGCATGCGCCTGAAGGCTATGGTTTGGTTGGTATTGGTCGCACGGAGGTGAAAGAAAGGCATCTTCAGTGCGCAGTGACGCAGTACTAACGTATTGCTGCCGCAAAACCACCGCCAGTCGCATGTGGGCTAAAGATACTGCGAGGATCACGCGGTCCCGTACGCAGGCTGCAACAGGCGCCCTCAACTTACAAGTCAAACTTGTAAACCTCAAGGTTACGGGCCAGAGATGAGTTAACCGTGGTACTGCTAAACGGCAGCTGATGAAATGCATCAATGATTACTTGGTGAATATGCCTGTGATAAGCAATAATCCGCAATGGCCGGGGATTCTAGAGGACTAGTTTCCGTTATCTTAAAAGCTAAGTGGTTATGTCTCTTAGCACATGGCAATGTTGGACGCACTGCATGGTTGCTCATCTCAGGAAACGTGCAGAGGTATATCCACAGTACTTGCTAGTAACTAATTTGAAGGCATTATAATATCTTTATTTGCTCTGCAATATCCCTACCCTTAGCCGTAGTTTTGAGTACTGGGTCATCCAAACCCAGTTCCATCGTAGCAAGAACCGAGCGCTATATGCCACTTTTGTTCAATCCTGTATACTTTGTAACCAGCTCTTTTCGGAATTCCTAACAAAGCGCAGATTTAAGCGAAGGATTTTATCATTTGGATCAGTAGTGCAGGTTCGAATATGCGCCACCTGATCATGTTAGCAAGACTTTGCTAGCGTGCTGCTTCTAATTCATATGGTTACCTTCAATGTTATGACGCTGATTTCCAGCCACTCTAATGGTAGTCCTAGCTTGCAGTTTCAAAACATCTGTCACTGGTATTAGTTCTTCCATGCAAACTGTTTTACTGTAGTCAAGCCCGATGGTATTTTCCATTTTACCGCAAACAAATTTCTGCAATACTTTCACAACGGACTTTTCGGGAGACACAGGTGCCATTGACAACCCAAGCTTGATAGTTATGAAGAGCATATGCGCAGACTCAGCACCAATAAATAAATAATAAATCGCCAGCTGCACGCCGTAACGGCGCTTCGCTGCCACGCCACCACCATCAGTCACGCGTGGGCTGAGTATACCGCGAAGACATCCGGCCCTACGCGGATTCGAACCGGTGAGCTTATGGTTGCAAACCAAACGCGTATACCACTCGGCCACCGGTCGACGACAGCACTGCGCGACTGAATTCATGTCGACGGCAGACTACGATCGCCTTGAAGGGACAGTTCAATAGGATCGTTTATCTGCGGAGTCCAAAAACGATTCATGTTTACTGTAGCTGCGTTTTTTTAAGTAGATTGTAACTAGGAGCAAATTCATGCTCAGTCCTAACGTCATTCCACCAATCTTCACCGCGAAAGGCACCACAAATATCTGGTGGTGTTTGACAGTGATTTACATATGTAAGTTTGCAAAACTGAATTAGACAAATGGTACTTCTGTGTTCAACATATTCGCGGTAATCACAAGGTGGACAACGGTACTCACTCACTTCAGCTTTGTGATGATCTCAGTCTATTGCTTTTGAGTGCAATCTTTTGAAGATGTTTGCTTCAGTGTGTGAAGCGGCGACTTCCATCACCTGGTCAGCCATAAACAGTAGTTAAGCACCCAGCCGTTTGTTACCGTACGCGTAGTTGTGTAAATGACTGTAAGTCAAACTAGAGTGCCTACTTCACCTAGGATAATGCGTTAGGCATGAGAGTAGCTTTACGTCTAAGTGGCATCCAAAAGAGTCGTGGGAGACGACTAACTGTAGCCAAACATTTCACTCCAGACGTTCTCAAAGCCTTTAAAGAGGTATTAAACTCAATCTTCAAGAGTGCCTGATGCTCAAACACTCAGAGGCATTGAGTGCACACTCGTAGTACGACACACAAATCTGCGGTCTTGTTTTGTGGTCTCGCTAGTAGTGCTGTCAACCACTTAATCCATGCACGATGTTTCCAGCTCAATGAGATCCGTGGAACGATTCCCGCTGGAGTTCAGTATCACACAATACGCAGGCTCCTTCGGAAGGACTACGAGACCTGTTGATACGGCGTGTCGTCGAGATGGGACAAACGGCAACTTATAGAATTTTCAGGCAAACTCACCTTCCGAACCAAACTAACAGCGCAGTGCCAACGTGTACATATGCGTCAGGTGAAACCAACAATGAATAAATCTATTGTTGTCACTATCGAATTATACTCGGCTAAGTACTTAGAACAGCAATTAACGGCCCACTAGCACCAGCGAATCCCATAAGGGAATTCAAACTGCTCCTAAGTGATTGTAAACGCATCGTCTCCACTTGAGGTCGAGGTTAGCTGTGTGTGTCGTCGTGTGAAACATCACAAATCCACCGCCGCAGATAGATTCTCTTCGACACCTTTTAAGGAAAGACTTTCTACCCTAGTAAGTAAATTAACATCATTTTCCAAGGGATGTGGATCAAGATAATTATCCAGCGCGATAGTTTTGACGATTCCTGTATCCACCTTTAAAAATGGAAATTAAGCAGAATGCTCCAAACATAAAGGGACTAGTTTCATCTGTGTTGCATCCAAAGCGTTTGCCGCCTTGTTTTTGAGTTTGGATAAACATTAAGACTGATAGGAATAATAACGGCGTATAAACCTGAGTGATCTTTCCATAATTGTAAAAAGCATTAGTTTCTCATCCTGAATATGGAACATTACTGTGTCACGCGACGATGTGTAGCACATACAGAAGCCCAACACAATGTGCCAAATTGTTGACTAGTCCTTGAACAGGAGTTATCCTTGATCCAAGCTTGCTAAATAGCGAGCATATCCTGAGTTTAACAGCTGATCACTTAGCATGTTTCATTCCAGGTAGAGCGGAGTGGTGAGAGAGGTTCTGTCGAATGTTAACAGTAATGAAGCACACGGCAACAGGGACTACCACACGACGTAATCTGTGTCACGAACTTCCAACTCGATGCACTGGACCACGAAACACAGTCTTAGGCACGGACGGGCAAGCATAACTTAACTTTTTAGTCAATACAGTGGAGTTACTCGGCGCGAATTGGACAGTCTAGCGCTTATTAATCATATGGTTACTGCGTGTGAAGACTAGGGCTAAATGAGATTGTGATGGGGAACAACTTCATATTTCCCATTATGCAGAAACTAACTTTAAACACAGTCTTTGGAATCTTGTGCACAAAACAATTACCTTAGCAGTATCCTGGTAACCTGACACTCAGCTAGGTATGCATTATCAATTCATCTTTGAATTATCTGTCAAATAGTTCAGTGGAGTACATTGTTGAAAAAACCACAGTGATAAATCTCGCAGCTTAGATAAGTGACTATAAAAGCGATTTTCAAACCTACTAGCGGTCATGTATTTGCTTATTATAAGTGAGTTAAGCATCGTTTTTGCTGCTTCACGAATAATACTTAAGAGCCGCGACAAGCCCCACGTCAAGCTGAGCAGTGGTGTTTTTGGTACCTGTGTTATGCGGAATCTTCATAAAGATTGGGAAACCGCAGAAAATCATTTTTGGACAAGATGCACATCTAATCTTCATTGGTATTAGGTAGGCAGCATGATTACAGAAAAGCACAAAAATACTAGATACCAATCTGATACTAACCGTCTCCATGATTATTAACTTTTACTACCTATGTGCATGGATGTATCCCTACAACTTTTCATGATAGCAGCTGACCAATTCTTTGTTCAGAAAGCTTATCGAGGTGTATGGGCCTGCATCAACCGCTGATTAATTTGTTGTTGTAATCTATTCATTTTTGATCTATACATAAATTTTTCCACCCTTTACTACTGTATACAGGCACCTAACATTATGACATCATCTTGATTTAGAAGGATTACAATCATCAAGTGCGAGTGCATCGTATTTAGTATATTCACTAAAGTGAATGACAATCAAAGAATGAAGAATTCACTGCCGCATTGGAAGCTAAAATGCAGTTCACTACAGCAACCCATATATATATATATATATATATATATATATATATATATATATATAAAGGACGATGTGTGATACAAATATAGAGCCATCGGAATCATGGAATAGAGAAACCAGATTGCCTTGCCTTCCCAGTATTGAATAGAGGCGCCTTACCCAGGTCGGTGCCTCCCTATTTTGATCCCAAGTTACACGTTGCCTGTCTTACTGTTACTCCTGGCGTACCCCTGTGCGGGCAACAAGACATAATGTCCCCAGTTGTCTTAGCACGTGTTGTCAAGAGGTTAATCTTATATGGATGGATTGGTAAGACATTTGGAAAATGACTTTTTAGTTTAGCTGTAAGGCACTAGTGCAAGGCAGCTTTTAAAGCGTCCTTGTGTATCGTTACCAGGATCACATCGAAGGAAAACGATGTGCATTCCAAGTGATCGTCTGCAAAGCGTGTGATAGCAAGTCAAGGGGGTGCAACCCAGTTTCATTTATGCCACTGTCGGTGGTGGGGTTCCGTGTGAATCAGAGAGTGGGTTTAAGCGAACGAAAAGGAATCTCAAAAGCATTTGTGAATCGCAAGCCTACAGCAATGGCTAGTAAGAAGATTTGTGTCCGCTGTACTGCCGGTACACACATCCAACCAGGTCACAATATGAATGAATGTGTCTTATGGGGGGGCTAGTAAACTTGCCAGGAGAACCGAATTGTACATCGTTGAGCTTCCTCGATCGTCAGACCAATGGGACCCACACCCAATAAACAATGTTTGTCGGTGACAGCCTCCTGTGAAGCAGAAATGGTAGGCAAGCGGATCTGCAATGTGTGGATAGTTTTTATTGCAGTACAAATACATGGTGTGAGTGTAAGTTCATGACTTTTAGTTGTAATAACACCGACCGTATTTACAATGTCGTGACGTTGTAGCACGAGGCATGAAGCACTGCTGTTATTTGCCTGTGTGTGATCAACTCGGAAAAGCAACCCTGCAATACTCCGTGAACAACATGGGCAACACACTTGGAACAATCGAACCGTACACTGTTTAAAGCTGACTTAACCTACTACGTATTGCATTGTAGCATGTAACCCACACTCGATGGGTCATACAAGAAGCAAAGTAAGTAAAATGCTATTCAGTAAAGGTATTAGGGAAGGTAGCGAAAAAGTCGTACCAAATCAGGTTGCAAGTAGACCATGCTAACGTAGGGACACATTTACATTAAATACCGATCATCGCAAGACTAGTAGATGGTTACCCTTCTTTTATACATCACGCTTTGCCTCACAGATTGTATCGTGTGAACGTACACATACGCACATACACATGCTTTTGAACTGGTTACATTTTCTGCTTTAACAGCGGGACAGAACACCTTTCAGTATTGGTTTGTAGTGGTTAACTATTTTTTGTATTTTTTGAAAAATGAATGATTTACTTCGTTTGGGTGAACTCAAGATCGCATAGGATAGAGACAAGGACTAAGTAAATCTTAACTGGCCGCCGCAATATCCGCTTTTGGACTGATCCATGACGATGTTAAAAGCCACGCATTTGCAAACATTCTTGCTGCTACTGGTGCCATGTTCCATGCCACCTGATTGCCTACAATGGCAGGTATTCGGCCTTTGGCCTATTCGGAGAAGTAAAGCCAAGAAGTATATTAGCTATGTGTGGAAGTGGAGCGTCGGTTTGTGGTGTCCTTGCTAAGTGAAATACACATTTCAGCGTACATAAGACAAATCTCCCCTCAACCATCGGGTCACTCACACACTGTTCACCCTACTTCTATTGATACCGCGCTGCACTTTCGAAATAGCGCGCCTAATGGTCAACTGAAGGCTTAACATAGACCATCATGCTGCCAAGTTAATACGGCAGTGCGATCCACTGATATGTGTTCGTTAACCTAACAAATATTGGAAGATGATTCCACATCAACTCACATCAGTATCTAGGGCGACGTCCGCGCGGAGTAGGGTAGCCCCTCCTTTCGATTTCCTATTATGCATTCTGCAACGGAATTGCAGTCCTTTGATGCACGAACTGTTTGCGGTTCTCTTTAGGAAGAAACCTACTCAGTTTACCGTGGTAACACGCATTCAGAATACCTAAAATGGTCAACAAAACACCACGTGTTGCATTTCCACCCTGACTTGGGAGTCTTGAGATTCTGGATTCGAATTTTTTCTATACTCGACAGTATCCTCTACGAATGTAATCATTTAAGATTGATAATGTAACCTTATACATACACTGTTGGACACAATGACCGTGGTGTAAATCTGAGACTCGGGGACTGCGATTCCGTAGACTGTATATAGATGTGGTGAACTAATAGAAAGAGGATCGGAGGGTCAGTAGATGTTTTGAAAAATTGTGCCACTCAAGTAAAGAATGTCACAAACGGCTATCAGAAAGCAATGAGAAACAGATGGAAACTAAGTGGTCATTTTGAAGCAATTGTTACATGAATGGACCGCGAAACATAAGCCCACATTGAGTGCCGATTAGCTTTAAGTAAACTTGAGTAAAATCGGTCACTGAGACCGCAGTTGAAGCCAATACAGTTTGAATGCTGGCTTCGCGCAACACTCCACTCCTCTTAGTCACTGACTGTTGTGATAAGCGTTTCCTGCGCAAACTCATGGCTTGGGAATAGAGATTTCGACTGATATTCCGACATCCCGGGTCCAAACCGTAGCCCAGCTATTTCTACACATAGCATGTAATTACGAAAGTGATCGTGAACAAAAGTGTTGTGCACAGATAGATTCTACTTAGTGTACTGCTGGAGGTTGACTGACTGGATTTGTAAACTGCTAATAATAAACTGATAATAACTGATAATAATAAACTAATAATAATAGTTGGTCAAGATCAAGCTTGCTCCACATGAGGCACAGATTTGAAACAGAACACTACATGTGTTCGGCATGCAGCAAAGGCAAAAGCAAACGCCGCTGGAAAAGTTCAACTCACTTTAACGGCGTATTTCACTTGACCATACGAGTAACAGTGCTTGATTAAGTGAAGAAATTGGTATTCCACTAGCGCGGGTTGCCTTGATCTGGAGAAAGGTGGAAAAGAAGTGACAACTGATTAGTACCGCGGTGTAAAGATGTCGTGAATGTCGCAAGTTAAAAGAAGGTTCTCGAAAGTGAAACTAAAGTAACTGATGCACCACGAGCTAGCTGTCTTTGCTGCCTTGCCTCGTTGCAGTAATTTGCATGTATTGTATCTAAAAAGACCGTATTCAGCTGAGGAGCACCAAGAAGCATAGTAGCCTATGGTCCATCTCGACGTAAATAATAAATTCTGTAGAGCTCACGCAGTGTAATCCAGTAGCGTCATTGGCCACCAACCCTATAGTAGCTCGCAACAGACAACTTTTGTGAGTAAAATTACGAAATTAGAACTGAATGTCCCACGGTCGCTAACCATAGTATCTAGTCACCGGCGATAATTGTGCTTGACCAGAAGAAAATTAGTCACCAATCTAGTGTTATAGTTACTCCCCATGTAGCCAATATATGTGTCTATGCATCGCTGAGTAGGGCACGATGAGCGGGTGCACAGTACTAAGAGGATCTGCGTAGCTGTACCTAACGGTAGTGTGTGAACAGAGCACAAGTATCGTCTTCATGACAGGAAAACGACTAAAAATGAAACTTTGTATTTACAGTAATCTTACTTGACAAATTAGCTGTTAAGCTAGTGAAATTTTGCGCGTTAACACCTGGACAGAACACCTTTCGGTTTTGCGTTGTAGTGGTCATTTTTTCTTGGTTTCTGGTGAAACGATGCTTTGTTAATTTTATATATATATATATATATATATATATATATATATATATATATATATATATATATATAAACAGTCTGTTAACAGAGATTGTGCCACCAGAAACATGGCAGAAAAAATGGAAACACGAATTGCGATAAAACACTGGAAACCGATTTTTTGGCTTCACACCCGTCATTTTGAATCTTTTGTTTTCGTTTTATTACTTCTTTGTGCGTATTAAAGGGGGATATAGTGCCAGAACAACATTGCCGCCACTGATGTCTGTTGACGTCCAATGACGTCCAATGTTTCCAACCACAGATTCCTCATCTCGTGGTCCCCAATCTGGAAGACGGACTGGTTTGACTGCCGCCAAAGTTGAGGTCTTCTTCTCCATGCTCCTTCTCCATGTCATTGGCTGTCCACCGCGACACTTTTTCAATTGCTCTCTGGGAGTGCAAATAGCGCTCGAGGTGGAAGGCGATGGGCTGGCATGCGCAAAAAGTGCCCGAGCCAACGCATGCGATGTCGCAGAGCAACGTCCTGAACACTGGCACTACTCGCTCCAATCACTCGGTCTCGGACGTCTACGTTGTTTACGTGGTGTTGCCACCACACCCGAGCAATCCTTCGTAGACAGCGATTGTCGAAGCCTGACAGCCGCTTCATGTCTTACGAGCGAATAGGCCAAGTCTCACAGCCGTACAAGAGTACCACACGGGTGGAAGCATTGTACTCCCTGCCTTTGAGCTTGAGGCTGACATCACGACAACGCCATGGGTGTCTCAGTTTGATGAATGCAAGGCGGGCCTTTGCAATCCGTCGTGAGACTTCATCTCAAACACCGTCATCAGCCGTGATGCAACTCCTTAGATAAGTAAAGCAAGAGACTTGCTCCAGAAGATGTCCAGCAATGGTGAGCGCTGCTTCAGGCATCTACCAGTCCTGGAGCAGCGCTTTACATTTTCCCGGAGTGAAGCATAAGCCGTACTTGGACGCCACTGTATGCTAGACGTGAGCACGAAGTAAAAATTACCGGAATAACGACACGGGAAGCCTAGCAAAATAAACGGGAGCTGGTGGTAGTAATCAAATGGTTTTTGCTCCTCATATTATGTGATGAAGCAATCATATGTTAGAACCTATCGAGAAAACCTGGGTTAGTGAATATGAATATTTAAGAAAAAAGGATGCTAAATTTATAGCATACTTGCATACGGAAAGTTAAATTGATACAACAAAGTCCATCTGTGGATGAAACAAGTTTTTCAAAGAAGATCGGGGGGTTTGTCATCAGCCGAAACTAATATGAAACAAAATTCTCCATCCTTACTGATGTCTAAGTTCTGATTCATACAAATTTTTCATTAGAGTAGCAAGAAAACCCATCAATAACAACGTACGTCCTAGGATAGACGAGTAGTAGCAACCAAGTCATTAGGCGAGTACTTTGAAAGATAAAAACCAAGAAGGAAAGGTTTGTCTATAGGCATACATGAAGAAGCCCAGGTTAAATGTGCAGACCGGAAACTCTGGTTAAACTCTAGTGCTTGTGTTATACAAATACAAATAAACCCTATATAATAATGCTAAAAACTAATCTTACTAGGATGAAGTACATGGTAATTTTAGAGACTGTTAAAAAGCCGAAATAACAAGTTTTATGGCTACTTTAATGCGGTTACCACTGATCAAAAACTAGCAAATTTCTCCTATCATCTTGCGAAAGAACATCAGGAATAATCCCCTTATTACTTACTTTTGCATGGATTCTATTTCACTACTGCAAAATACATCCCATTAAGCATATATACAAGATTCGCGGGCACTTTGATACCTATACGCTATACTAGCAAATCACTTCTATTTGATTAAATGCCCTTTAAATCATCACCCGCTGAAGCTGCTGTTATATTCCAATAGACCTCAAACTAAGGTGCTCACCTGTATTCCAAGTGCTTTGCTCTAATTCTCGCCTCCAGGGTTGGACACAAGTTTGGTAATCCTAACATCCGCCGCACGTAACCGCTACCCAATTTGTCATCTCCGTAGTCGCCACAGTCAGCTGAATTAAGGGTAATGGATGGATATGGAATGAAAGTAAACGTTGGTGTTTGTTGCATAATTGCCTGAAACTCATCACGGTACGCTGAAGCCAACATGGGTCACTAACGGGCGCATTGGAATCGCATGACCGAAAGTTGCGTTGGCACTGGAGGTAGCATCATTTATGAACTTTTCAACTTGGAAAATGCACGATTAAGTGAGTTTTGACATTAAAAGTATTTAGGCCAATAGTCCCAGTTGCAGTATCTGGTCTGGAACAATTTATCTGTTCCTGTTTGTAGCAAAACCATTACCACCGGTTGGTAAATGATGCTAGAATAATCTGTTTGGTATATCAATGCGCTATTCTGGTGACTGCACCAGAAAGGATTAGAATATGCTTTTCAGTGTACCTCGAGGAGCTTTTCTTATAAAAATAATACAAGCAGTTACTTTAAACGGAGTCCCTATTCGCGTAAGGTCTGAACCTGTTTTTCATCTACTCGTGAACAGGAACAAGTGTACAAATTGAGCCGCATTTTAGCAGTGTAACTCAACATTATTAACTGGCAGAATGCTGATGATCTGATAGCTCGGGTTATGTATCATGTCTGGAATTCACTACATTTTTCCATACTGCTTATTGGCTGCCTATTTTCCACCATGTTTTAACGTGAATGCTGGTTTATGTGTCATAATTAATGGATATTTATTCGAGGACTCTGGCCACTATCGCGTGTGTGCTCGTTGGCGTACGCTCGGTAATTTCAGTCCTTTGCACAGAAGTACGTGGAAAAACATCATGGGGATAATTAAAATGATTGCTACTCTTGTGTGGTTGTGAAATTTGGTTCATCAAATAGATGGACATCAAGAGACTTGTTAAATTCAACCACCGCTGCCTTCGCAGCTTAGCTACTGTGTGGTGAGAACATCGCGTGAGCAATGAACGTGTACCGCGTCGCGTATTTTGGTGCAGGAAGTGCGGATGCACCGCTCAGCACCGTTACCTCAGGCACAGGCTCCGATGGCTGGGTTATATGTTCTGCATGCCACCACATCGACTCCCGCGACGTGTGCTGTTTGCGACACCACGGTCTGGACGGAATAGTAGGAGAAGAGGCCAAGCGATGACTTGGTCAAAAGTGATGAAGGCCTTAGCTTCGAACTTGGCGTCGGCTGGTGTGGCCCGACTGCCGGGCTGGGGTCCGAAAGACGATGGGCACGTCTGATTGGGTCCACATATTTACTAGGCAAAGGCCGAACTCAGTGAGGTTTGAGATTGAGTTTTATCCCCTTCCCTTAGCTTCCCCGTTAGGCAACAATCTCAAACGCCATGAGTAGCGTTGTATTATATTGTATTGTATTAGCATTGTATGGCCTTCTTAGTCGGTAATGTCTACCATCTTACCATTTTTGTATTGCAGCACAATAGCTGTGTTTCTCACTTTCAGCTAAAGTGTACTTAAAAAATATTCCGTATTTGTTCGAGTTACGTTTGTTTCTGTAAACTGTAGTCTGTAGTTTGTCTTTCCTAGCAAAGATATTTAACCTTCTACGTCGCATTACATTATGAAGGATTCTGATATGGCCTGAACTACTCTAATTAGATGCATAAAAGACTAGGTTGTCGATATGACCAGGTTGTATTGATACATTCATTCATTCATTATACACGCTAGCTGCAGGTGGAATACACTCCAGCTATTGTGCCGAAATACAAAGGACAAGATAAAAAATAGTGACACGCCGGCTGAGTCCGCCGTGACGGATGGACATCGTTCCGGAGAGTTAACAGGCGGCTATTGTTCCGCAAAAAGTTGTGTTATGCCTAACGAATGCGATCGTGATTGGAGAGTGAAGCTAAGCAGGAGGGGAATGGACAAAGGAACTCACAACACAAACGCCACTGGGACCGGCTCCTAGCCATATCAACAAATGTGTCCAACCAAACGTGTTCATCGTCGTTAGGACTCCAGCCTGGCAGTCGGGATGTACCAACCGACGCCAACTTCGAAGTGAGGGTTTTCATCTGTCTCGACCAAGTCATCGCTTGGACTCCTCTCCTCCTCTTCCAACCGCACCCACGGCGCGCAAACAATGCACGTCAAGTAATTCGGTGTGCTGGCATGCGCAACATGGCACAGCCATCGGAGGCTGGTTCGTGATGTAATGGTGCTGAGCGGTTCACTCGCTCTTCCTACAACAAATAAGCGACGCCGAACACGCTCATTGCTCACGCTGTGCTCCCACCAGATATGAGCTAAGCTGCGAATGCAGCAATGATCGAATGTGACGAGCCTCTTTATGTCTGTCGACCTGATGGACCAGGTTTCACAACAATATAGGAGGATTGAACGGACGACTGTGTTATACACTCTGCCCTTCAGGGCGAATGTCGCATCTGCGCCACAGGTGGCGGAGATTGGCAAAATACCTCGAGTTTTTGCTATACGGTGCGTAACCTCATCTTCGATCTCTCGGGCGCTACTATAGCTACCCAGGTACTTGAATTCATGAAAGACTTCTAGCAAATCATCACCAAGCCTCAGCGCAAGGGTAGGTCCCTGCCAATCTTGGAGAAGGGCTTTGCATTTCGATGTAGCAAAGCATAGCCTAAAACGATTGACAACCAGGACTAACCGGTCTAGTGCTTCTTGGCATGTTTGGGAGTTGTCACAGATTAGGGCAATATCGTCCACATACTCCAAGCCAAGAATTTGCTCACCAGGAAGTATCTCCACACCTTCTAGGTCGTGCCTAGAGAACGCAGTTTCCATGACTTCATCGATGATGAAGTTAAAGTGGAAAGTTGACAGCGGGCAACCTTGTCTCACACCGCTGATGATAATGAAGGGTGGCTACAGTTTGCCATAAACCCTCACTCTGCCCTAAACATGCGCGTACAGCGCTTTGATAATGTTTACGGATTTATCAGGCACACCTTTCCTCAGCAGACAGTCCTAAAGGGCAAACCGATCGACTGAATCGTAGACACCTTAGATGTCGAGAAATACGACAACGGTGGGTCGCCAATAAACATGGCGTTGCTCCAACAATTGACGCAAGATGTTGTGATCGAGGCAACCCTGACCTCGACGAAACCTGGCTTGCTGTTAATGGATCTGGCTTTCACGCGTGCCAGTAAGTCTGTGAAAAAAGACAGATGCAAGCACTTTAGAGGCAATTGAGATCAGACTGATCCCTCTATGATCGCCGCATTCCGAACAGGAGCCTCCCTTGAAAGTTGGGACAATGACGGAGTGGCTCCAGTCCGTCGGCTCAGTCTCCTGCTCCCAAATTTTCACTAGCAACTCGTGTAAATCATCTATTAGAGCAGGTCTCCGAATGCGAAGAGGGCTGGGGGAACTCTATCTGCCCCTGTGGCCTTATGCAATTTCAACAGCCTGATCTCACTTTCGACTTTTGCAGGTGATGGCGGATCCAAGAAGACGGACCAGAGGGAAGGGCGCTCAACGCCCGAAAACGAAACCGATGACTCAGGTTGGTTAGATTGCCTTGTAAAGTGTTCAGCCCAACGTTCCAAGGGTTTTGACAGGCTGTGGATTGGCTGTCCATTCTCGTGGCATACGTTCTCGCCAAGTCTGCTGCCTGTTTCCCGGATCAGACCGAATAACTTACGATGATTACCAACGGCAGTGGCTGTTTCCAGCTCAGAGGCACGATGAGAGCACCAGGCTTCATGGTCTTTCTTCATGTTTGCATGTAGTTTGGCCCTGAGATTTTTGCGAGCCTCATTGTATTAGCTTCGAGCCGGAATACGTCGGCGAGCATCCCTCACAAAGAGGCTGGATCTTACCTTGGTTCGATGGTTCGCGTGCCTCAGAGATCCATAAAGATATGCTGGGTGGTGCTTTTGCACCTTCAGAGCTAAGCAAACCAGATTCGTCAATGGTTAGAGTCCAGACAAACTCCGCCTCCCGGTCCTCCAGGTTGGGGGTTGTAATGAGGGTGGCTTCTTATTCTGCAGTCCAGTGCCAAAACCCCGCTGCCTTGCGGTAAGGTTTTTGAACCAAAGGATTTGGTTGAGAACCCCAATCGTTCTTCTGTCTAGGTCTGGGCAACCTGACAGTATTCTGCCCACGCAATACAATGAAGTTCTCTTCAAACAGTTTATTGTTGCTCTCGCCATCGCAGTTGATAATCAACGACGCCCTATCTGCTGCATCGAGCAGCGTGGATAGGGGTATGGATGCTACTGCTCAGGGTTTCCCGTCTACTTCTCCCCATTCTGGCGTTTTTTCATCCTTATCGTCCCGCTCCTATTTTACTTCTATCCCCCCATTTTCAATCGCACAATCCTTGGCCCTCCCCCACCTTGCTTCAATAGTCGCTTGTCTTCTAGTTTTAAATCACACACAGTCGCAGGGCGTCGCTCCAATCCAGTCGACAAGTCCATGTTCAACCAAGCAGACAACGTTAGTTCATCCGTTTCCTTTTGGAGTCCTCGTGTCTGGCATGCCTCAAGCTGCGCCCTTTGCTACAGGTTGGCCAACAGGCAGCACTTGCCCGCACACCAGAGACCCTATCAATCGATATTTGCTGGTTATCAGAAACCCGCCTGCAAGATTCCAGCTTCGTGCTTACCCTGCGATCCCCCACATGCGACACTGGCGGCGCATTCTCATTGCGCCTGTCTGGCGATGATGCAGCTTCAAATGCCAGTCAAGTTGGAGTCGGCATAGTGTTGAGTTCCCGGACTGAAACTGTCCTGATCATTTGGATGCCAGTCAATAGTAGAATGTGCGCAGTTAGATTAGCTGGTTCGTTCCGTGCTAAGAAATCGCGCGATAACCATTGGTGCCTGTTTGTCATTGCGGCCTACGCCCCTGCAAACTGTAGCACTGATTCGATAAATGATGATTTCTATCAGCAACTTCACGAGCTCATTCGTTACAGAAGAAGCACGGATACTGTGGTGTTGGCTGACGATCTAAACGCCTAAGTCGGAAAATTGTCCTCTGTTTAGCTTTATCTGGGTGGCCAAAATGGTGTAGG